TAGCCAGTTTGAATCCTTGAGTTTATGAGAGACTCTATCAAATTTCCGTATTCCATAAGAAAATCTTAAACAAGATTTCTGTACTCTCTGAATTCTAATTATGTCTGCGTTATCTAAACAGGGCCCATAAACTGAATCACAAAAGTTAAAATTACTCAGAACCAGGGAATCTGTTAATAACAATTTTGTTGTAGTTGGAAGAACATGTCGATGTGGGTAAAGCATTTTTAAATTCATGTATGCTGTTTGGATGCACTTGTTAGCGTGAAGTTTAAACCTCAAGTCATTATCAATTACTAAACCTAAATTGCGAGCAGATGTGGAAAATGATAAAATATTCCCATCAACTAGAATCTGCATTTCATTTTGTAGTTGATGTCGGTATTTACCAAATAACATTACTACACTCTTAGCTGGATTAATATTAAGTTGATGAATATTTGAAAGTTTAACTAGTCTGTCAAGATCTTCATTAATATGATTATTAGCTTCTAAGGAATCATTATGATTAAAAGAAAATTTAACTTGAGTATCGTCAGCATAAAAAAATGGCTTACCATTCCTAATGCTATTCTCAAAGTTGGAGGTATATAGTGAAAATAATAATGGCCCAAGTATTGATCCCTGAGGAACTCCACAGGAAATCTGCTTAGTATTTGATGAACCTGCATCAGTAACCACAAATTGTTTCCTGTTATACAGGTAGCTATTAAAAAGTCTGATAATATCATTAGAGCAACCAATAAAATGTAATATTGAGAGTAAAATTTTATGATTAATAGTATCAAATGCTTTGGAATAATCTAGCATAACAAGTGCTGCCGTTTTTTTGACATCAATATCCCTGAAGAGATCATCAGTGACATCCAGTAAAGCTGTAGCACAACTATAGCCAGAACGAAAACCTGACTGTCGCAGTGGAAGTATTTGATTATTTTTTAAATGAATATTTAATTGAAATTTCATGATTTTTTCAATCACTTTGGATAACACTGGTAGGATAGAGATGGGACGCAAATCGTTCACACTAGTAACGTTCTTTTTCTTGGGCAAGGGAAAGACTTTTGATAGCTTCCAAGATTCCGGAAAGATGCAATCGGTGAGGCAAACATTTATGATATGTGTAATTATAGGTAAAATTTCAGGACAGCAAAGAAGTAGCATGTGAATATTTAACTGATCCGCTCCCGAAGCTACAGACTTTATTTCGACCAAATACTTATATACGACTGGAGTACTGACAACACTGAATGAAATGATATGAATTAGATTAAACAGTATACCTTTAAAAATAAATAATAAATAATACACATGAAGTATGCGTATTTCATTATCCATGTTAAGAGCGTGCCGTTACGCTTTCTGAGTATATTCAGTCGCTCTGGAGAGATCAGGGATCTAGGGCCTGAGGGAATCGGGTAGAGGGAATGGTGGTAGGAATCTGAGATGTTACTGATACAGCATTCGCCTATTGCTATGAAAAATCTATAAAAAAAAAATCATAACATAATGTGAGCCATTTTATTATTCAGTCATGCTCTAACCCTCCAAGTCTCTCTGTCTTATTTGGCCTTTGAGGCTCAACTTGTCCGATTATTATACATAATTAAACTCCTTAAGACCAAACCTATGGGACGAATATGGCAAAGACACTTTCGCGAACATTCTTGAGTCATCGTGATAACATTTCTGGTACATTCTGGATATTTTGGTGGAGGAGCATTCTAGACCACCAATTTATATATAAATATTGGTGGAGGACCAACAAAAGTTAGTTATTATATGGACAGTGAAGATAAATAGTAATTAGTAGATAGATAGTGGTGAACATAAATAGTGAACGATTCAAAGACATTCGAAAGATATATAAATTAAAAAAGTAGTGTTATAAAATAAATAGGTGTTTAAATAAATTATTAATAAATAAACTGTTGTTTTAAAGTAAACAAACATCACAATACAGATGCAATGCGCTTATTTTGTAAGAGTAATTTTTCTGAGGATATTAAGGGTAAATTCTGGGTTCAGTATCAACTGTATTTCGGGGCTTATATATGTAACTTTTACTGCTAGTTTGTAATAGTTATCACTTCAGAACGAATTGTTTAGGTTTCTTAAGTTTCTAACATGTTTTTATTTCAGTTCTTGTCATTGAATATTACTTTCGTACCGTCTGTCTCAACCGAAAAATATTTTTTCTACGAACTCTTACAAAAAGACATCTGTCGCCACAGGATACTTTCAGCGAAAACTTGATTTCCGTCACTATTGAGAAAAAATCCCATAACGTTTACTTTCGTCTCTAGTGACGAAAGTAAGTTGTTACATATTTTCATATATCAGTCGCCTCGTATAATATTTTGGCAGCTTATAATTATTAATAATGAAATAAAAAGATGCTCATTAAATTCTATATGCGTTTTTACCTAAACTTTAATGAATTAAAGATAAAATAAAAATGTATAAAAATTGTGCAAATTAAACCAATCTACATCTAGTTTCCTGGTTTTCATTTGTTTATTTGAAATTTTATCACTTTTGAGAACTGTCAGTTTCAGTTCGTCCTAAATTTAACACATTTTCATGATGTCTGAGTCAGAAAGCGATTGTACTCCACCAGAAATTATTTTTAAAGCTGAAGAAACCTCTTCAGATTTATTACCGGCCAAATCAAAAAAGAGATATGAAGAAATTTATATCAAATTTTTGAACTGGAGAGAAAAAAATAAAGTGAAATCATTTTTCGGAAACTGTACTACTAGCATACTTTGGAGAAATATGTTCAAATTTTAAACCGTCGACGTTATGGTCCATTTATTCGATGCTAAGAACTACACTCTCTGTTAAAAATGATGTCGATATTAGTAAATATCCAAAGTTACGTTCGCTTTTGAAAAGAGAATCTGATAGTTTTAAAAGCCAAAAATCCAAAATTTTTTCGCCTGAAGACATAAAAACTTTTATAAAGAATGCACCTGACTATAAATATTTAATAACAAAGGTAACGGAATTATTATTTTTATTTTAACAAATACTTAATACATAACTACTAATATTTGTAGGTAGCATTAGTTTTTGGATTATCTGGCGCTTGTCGTTGCCACGAACTAAAAGATTTAACAATAAGCGATGTAAAGGATACTGGAAGTATTCTGTTAGTTAAAATCCGTAATACAAAAACAAAAGTTCCGCGTTCTTTTCATATTTCTGGACCCTTTTATGATATTTCTAAAAAATATATGAGCCTACGTCCCGCAAACATGGATCAAATTAATTCAAGATTCTTTATTAACTATCAGAATGGAAAGTGTAGCAGACAGGTTGTTGTAATTAATAAAATCAGTAAATTTCCTAACGAAATTGCTCAGTTTTTAACTCTTCCGAATCCTCAAGATTACACTGATTACGCTGGGCACTGTTTCCGCAGAACATCCGCAACGCTATTAGTGGATGCAGGAGGTGACTTGCTTCTGTTAAAAAAGCACGGTGGTTGGAAATCTAGTAGTGTTGCGGAAGGATATGTTGATGAATCCACGAACAGTAAAAACCAAATACAAACCAAAATTTTACAATCTGTACAAAATAAGGAAACTACTAGTTCATCCGATTATGGCGCATCATCATCTGAAATGACATTTAACAGTAGAACAAATATGTCGGCATCTACCTCAATAAATAAAAAGCTTGAGTGTGATGCCCCCATAATTTTGAACAATTGTTCAAATATAACAATAAATCAATATTTAAATAATAAATAATATTTCTGAAATATTTAATTGTTGGTTAATTTTTTGTTATTCCTAACACAAAATAAAGCATTTGCTAACGTTTGTTTTTTTTTCATTTTAGTAGGTACCTACATGACATAATAGAGTTCGTAGAAAAAGTATAGTGTTTTACTCGTCGAAAATCATTTTATGTTATTTTCGTCACTCCTTTCGACATCCTGTATACATCTAACAAATTTTAAATTGTAGCCGTCTGTAACCTACGTATTCCTCCCAAACGAATTTTTTATATCTTTGGTCGTTTTCCCATAAATCTCCGTCCCGTTGAGCGTGAGCCACCCTGTATATTATTTTTAAAATTTAATTATTTAATTCAAAAACAGTATTGTTTTTTACAAAAACTAAATTTTAAATTTTAACACAAACACATTAACAAAAATCTATATACTAATCGACAAAACCGTTTATTATAACTCAAATTTAAAAGAAAACAAAAATAATTAAATAAACAGATTTTAACATTATTTTATTAACATTAATATTTTACATTCATAGTATAACCCAAATACAGAATTAAAAACATATATTCTAAATTCTAAACAACAAAATCTTTTATTATAACATTTATAACTCTAATATTAAAAAGAAAAAATTTAAAATAAAAAGATTTTAACATTGATATTTGTATATCCTCATCTGATGAATAATAAATATCAATAATGTGATTCCTATTAATGACAATAACTTCAGAATCTTCAGATAAGGCTCCCATGACCAGTCAAGGTTCGTTTTCTTTTTGTCTATATTTTGATTTATACACTTAAACAGCAAAAAACAAAACAAATCGTGGCGAAGCTGGGAACCCCAAAGTCGGCGCGGCGATGCTGGCGCAACAGTCGAATAAATCGCAAGTTACTATACTTTGGTACAGGGGCGTATTGAGACATTTTAGAATGTTTAGAATGTTGGAAAACATTTTTAATTTAATAAATCAAATTATCGAATATATCGGATATATATCATAGCATAAATATCATGATATATATTACTTAATATATATCCTTCGAACCCTACAAATAACCAAGTTAATGCGATAAAACAAATTGGGGTTCCATATTCAAACCATATGGAGGTATATATTATTGAAACTTATTGGTTCGAACCTGTTACTTTAAATTATAGGTTGTTTACCAGAAATTTGCTCTCAACACGACATACTCGTATATTTCTTATGTGCATTAATACGAGTTTAACTTTTATTGTCTATTCTAGTTCGCTGTATGTCTTTTGGTCATCTTTATTATCGAATTTGCTGTGGGAATAGCAGCTGCCACTTACAAGAGCCAGTTTCAAAGTATTCTCAAAGAGGCAATGGCGAAGTCAGTCGATAATTATGAAACCAGTAAATCTGATAAAATTGCTTGGGATACGTTACAGTCGAAGGTAATTATGAAACATTCTCGTAATTTTAGATCGTGATTAGAGACTTCCGATTTTGATATCGTGGTGTTAACATTGAAATGGCTGTCTCAGAATCAGAATCGGGAGTCACGTGTGTGTGTGTTTTGTAAAAATCTCTAATAAGAATTGCCATCGTAAAGTGAATTTTGTTTTAATGTGATTAGTTATTTGATATCAAGAATTGTATCACAATATTTTTGAATTTAATGAATATAAATTGTCACATGGTGTGATGGTGAATGCATTAACATTTTGATTTTATTAAGTTTTAAGAGTGCTTTATAGCCTAGAGCAAGACAAGCATACTTTCTATCTTATAAGCTAATTTACCTGTACTGACTAAATACCGTCATGGTCGAGGTCATTAAACTAAAATAAGAAGAAGAAGATCGTGATTAGAAATATTAGTTATTTATAATATTACTGTGAAAAGGTTTTTGTGCATGTTTTGCAAAAAGGAGGATTTCACACACGAGTGTCATATACTTTATCTACGACCATATTTTTTTCGGATACAGAATAGCTATTTGTATATTAAGAGTGGAAAGTGCTACTTTGCCGCTTAAGATAAAAAGTTGCCGCACGATGCGAGGCGGAGTGCGGCATTTTATCGTAAGCGGCAAATAGCTTTCCGATCGAATTACACTCAAGATTTTTTCTACGATCACACGGTATTAAAAGTATATAGTTTTATTTTGCCGAATTCAAATCTTACTACGTTAATTCGACAGACACGTCTAATATGACTAGCAAACGAGAAGTATGTTGTGTGTATATTGTGTTACCTGCTTACTCTAGGATTAATTTTATGATATGCATAAAAATATCTGTACATCTTAAAAATAACTTGCAAGATCATCGGTTAGAATACTCAAATCGCAAATTGATGGCTCATATACTGTTTTAAGTATTATTTAATTTAACAAACAAAAAAATCAAATTTAAAAAATAAATAATAACTGATGAGGATTGAACTTACGACCGTCAGATTCAAAGACAAACGCGCTAGGCTCTACACCAACAAGACGTGTTAAATATGAGTGTTAAAAACAGGGTAATTAATTTTTAATATTTTAATTATCATTTAGATATTAAGGAAAATGAGTTTGAGTATTAAATGTTCAACTAAAATATTCAGATTAGTCTACATTTTCTTTTAAAATATCGATTAGGTTTATAATAACATTTCTAATGAAATTTTCTAAGTAACTTTCCGCCTATATGCGGCAATAATGACAAACTATGACAATACATGGAAAACGTTAACTTTCCAGTTAGATTTGAATGTGCAAAAGCCTACTTTGGATAGTGATCGTAGAAAAAATTAATTATCATAAAACATTTTTAGATTAATTAATTAACGATCATAAATAATTTTGAATAAATTAAAATTTCCAGAAGTTTTTTAACTTCTCATTCTTCCTATGCCAGCTTTTAGTTTACAGGTTGTAACTATTTACTCTGTATATTTAGTAGAAACAGTTTCAAAAAAGTAATTAGAATTATTAAGTCTACAAAATGCCGTGCTTGGGTTTTAGCTTTTTTGATGACCTTTAAGGTCACTTGAATGGCAATCTTGTTTTTTTTATGTATTATCTATTTTTAAATCCACCATGTTGTTTTTTTTTTATTTTTCTGGTTATTTTAAGCAGTCCTTAATAATTTTTCTGGAAAAGCTTCTTTCTCACTATATTACATAAATCTCTTTGCATTTTGGTTTGAAAGAACCAATATTGTCTGTTATGAGATTTGATTTCTTTGCAGAAGCTAAAATTATTAGTAAGAATGGATTTGATTTCAAACAATTGGTTTTTCAGATATTTCTAAAATGTATTGAATGCTATACATTTGGGAGAAATGTATAGTTATACCTTACAATAATTATGTACATATGATTGTAAATTGTAACTTAACGTAAATACATATTTAGTTGCAGTGTTGCGGAGTAGACTCTCCCACAGACTGGAAAAAACGACCGGCATCATGTTGTCATGCAACCCGAGAAAACGCTCCGGATCCAACACAAGAACAGTGTGGAAACGCCAAACCAGGAGATGAATTTCTTTATTCTTATGGATGTTTCGACGAGCTTCAGATGAAAGCTGAGAGTTCGTCTAAAGTTTTAATTGGTGTTGGCATAGGAGTAGCATTTATTGAGGTGAGTATACAAGGTGCTCTATAAACATTAGGCATTCCAAACAAAATGGCTACCCGTAGGAAATGACAGGCCACTAACAGGCACATGATAGGTTATAATTTAGCAACACTGTGGGCCTGGTGATTTGACTGGATCAGTCATATAGATAGTTGTATAGATTGATCATCCATGTTTTTAAAAATATACATAAGCTTATGCCTTGAAGTAAAAATGTAAGTAATTATTTTTATTTTACTATGCAAAAGATGGAAATTGGTTTTAAAACACTTTTTTGCTAAACCGATTCAAATTAATAAACACTCGGCAGGGAATATGGCTTAGATATGGCCACTCGCAAACGACCCGCTTTGAGTAATCTATATAACTATTATGTATCATTGACCCCGTCAATGACAAAATGCCACATACTTTGATTTTCTTTTACTATACGAAGAATAGTTGCACTGCGCAGCTTTCTGAGTGACTTTTAAAAGGAGATAGAAAACTCCACCATTTTGAACCCTTATTACGTGTTGCCTACATCTTGGCGCAATATTTTTAATACGTGCGTTTTAATCATCCGCTTCTGCTTCGGAATTGTCGGTTTTCTTGTTTTAATCTGACAGGTTAGAACGACTGAACCGACAATTCCGGAAGCAAAAGCGGATGATTAAAACGCACCTGATATTTTGCTTGCTGCTGTTAGTGTCAGTGAATATTATTTTTGGAGTCACAGTTTATTGCTAAAGAATCAGTTAGCTCACTCGGACCAGTTGAAAGTTCCAAAATAACATCCACTCCAGGGATACAAATTCAGGATACGCAGAAGACTGCTGTTTTATTATAGGCGGTTGTTATATATTGTATTATCTGAGTTGCGCAGTGTATAAACTGGAACATTGAGATAAAAAGTGCCGACGCAGAGTGAGCGATCTGATTCTTTAGTTATAAACTGTGTCATAGGGTTCAAAATGGCCGCGCCCTATGTTGGGCGTGTCGGACCTCTCTCTTGCCCCGTATAGTAATCAAAGTATGTGGTGAATATTATTTTTGGAGTCACAGTTTATTGCTAAAGAATCAGTTAGCTCACTCGGACCAGTTGAAAGTTCCAAAATAACATCCACTCCAGGAATACAAATTCAGGATACGCAGAAGACTGCTGTTTTATTATAGGCGGTTGTCATATATTGTATTATCTGAGTTGTGCAGTGTATAAACTGGAACATTGAGATAAAAAGTGCCGACGCAGAGTGAGCGATCTGATTCTTTAGCTATAAACTGTGTCATAGGGTTCAAAATGGCCGCGCCCTAGGTTGGGCATGTCGGACCTCTCTCTTGCCCCGTATAGTAATCAAAGTATATGCAACAGGCCCACAGGGTTGCCATATCTAAACTGTAGTTCCCACTGGCAGCATTTTGATAGGTCGTTGGAATGCCTAATTGAAAAAGTATATAGACAAAGAACAACCATAATACAGAGAACAATCAGTATCGCGACTTGAATTTTTGCAAGGTCCACGCCTCAGATCTGTGTCAATTGCGCCTTCATTTTCTCAAGATCAATTTACGACTTGTCGAGCGATGTACTGTTCTTGCTATTTTTGGGGTGGCTTAGCTGCCAGGGCTATTAGGTCAAAGTATATTAACCGTTGAGTAGCGACAGCTGGGGAACCGAATTCTAGTGCGCCGACGCGAAATAGAGAGGCGAGACGTCTTCTAAAGATCACTTTAGTCCGGCAGCTGATATATGAATTCGTTGTTGTGGATTTATTAGTCAAAAATTGTATTCAGCGATATGTTTAAACAACGCGAAATTTAAAGTTTGAGACAACTCGATTAATAAATAAGAAGGTCCATAAGTAATAATTTCTATTGTTATCAAAATTCAAAACCATGTGCACCTACCAACTTTCAAGTCTCTAGCTCATCCGGACGTAGGTAAAAAAATTGAAACTTATCAATAGTGATATATATTTTTATATTTACTACATAAGTTAAATACTCATAAATATAAAACTGCCTAATGACCAAACCTTTATTATAAATGTAAACTACAAAAGAGTTTTACTTCAAATTACGTCGAGCAGTGTAAACATTACATTCAAGACCAGTTCATAATTCGAGCAGTGTTTTACTCTATCGTTCCGTCAATAACGTCAAAAGAGAGAGAAAGAAAATTTGAACTACCCAAGATCAAAGGCACCGAAGCTTTATGTCGCTACTCAACGGTTAATATACTTTTATTAGGTCTTGTGTGTTCTGTGTAGGCCTTGTTACTGTTTCGCAATGACACTTTAGGAACAGAACTCGTAATTATAACCGAACACTGTAGGAAATAGTACTTCAGCAATGAAAATACAATTAATTAAGGCCCAACTCAATCTTGTTTGACATTTTGACGATTTTAACGATTTTGACGATTTTTTTAGGTTAGAAAACTTGCATTATCGAATTTTCATTCTAAGTAATACAGGACGTCACTTTAAATTTCTATCTCTTTATGCAGTGTTTAAACTGGAACATTGAGATCAAAAGTGCCGACGCAGAGTGAGCGATCTGATTCTTTAGCTATAAACTGTGGCATAGGAATCAAAATGGCCGCGTCCTATGTTGGGCGTGTCGGACCTCTCTCTTGCACCGTATAGTAATCAAAGTATGTGACTGACACTGATAGCAGCAAGCAAAATATCAGGTGCGTTTTAATCATCCGCTTCTGCTTCCGGAATTGTCGGTTTAATCGTTTTAACCTATTAAAAATATTGCGCCAAGATGTAGGCAACACATGTAGTGATCCACTAAAAATGTTTTTAGAGTAGGTCTTGGAAAAATTTACGTATGTCAGAAGACTCTTCTTATTTTTAAGTGTCAGTTTGGATTTAATTCAGAGCCGTGCCGTGTCGATCATGGTCTATTTTGGAAACTTTTTTGTGGATCACACTTTACCTTGTCACACCTCTTTAAAAAGATGGATTAATCACTCTATATTGTATTTATTGTGTAGGTAAATATAGATATTTTTCTATTTTTTCAGATCATTGGAATTATGTTAGCCCTTTGGATGGCGTCTGCTATAAAGGACAAAAATTAATAAAACCATTTATAGTAAGCACACTACAAAATGTTGGACTTTTTTATGTTGGAGTATGTCAAAATAAGCGATTGATCAAACTTAAAGTTTTATTTAAATATTTAATCTTCCTAATATTGTGTAGAAGTGAATCTGCTAAGACGCGTCGTTGCCTTTTAGACATTATTATATATGCTAAGTATTATTGCTTTGTTTGGTAATTTATTGAGAAATTTTACTCTATCATCCATAGCCATTTTAAATTAAATTTCTTCTATTTAGGTTGAAACGTGAGAACTTGTTGTTGAACTAAGTTGTATAGTAAGATCTTCTCGTGTGACTTTACTAAATATTTATAGACAATAGGCAACTAGGTAGCTTAAGAAGGTAGAATAACGAAGCACCTAATCTTAACCTTTATTGTGTTATTTTTGTGTTTTTTTGTTAAATGTATGTTGTTTAACTGTTGTTGCTCAACCGCTGTTAAATCGTGTGTTAAGCTTAATAATTTAATTGGGTAATGATTTTTAATACTTATTTAGCATTGAAAATTTGATATCGTTATTAATTTCTATTGGTTTCTATTTTGATTTATTTACAGCATATTTAGATTTTTGATAAACATCATATTAACCAAACCACGAACTACACGATGTTTTGTTAATAACTCTTATATGATATAAGATTTGTTTTGCACAGGTATCTACGCAAATTTATACTATATCAATAATCATAAGGGCCTAAAGTCACATTTTTAATATTATATTTTCCAAATGTGTTTATATTAAGGTTCCATATTATTAATAAAAAAATAGTTATAAAATGTTCCTGTAGCAATTAACAACAAATGACCTAAACAGGCATCGTATAGGTGCTATTGGCGAAAGATGAAGCATTATATACATTTTTTATTTTGTTGAGGAGGAATACGTACCTTCTATTATGTGAAATCTCAACATTGGCTTTGTCGTCGGAAGGTTAGGTTAGATTGAAACCACAGAACACTTACTCTTAGAACGGTATCTCCCATGTTAAAAAAGGATGATAGAATTTTCAGCGCCACCATGAGGACGTGGTTGATTTTTTTTCAATTAAGTCATTCTCTGGTAAGAGGCCATATGAAAGAAGAGAAAATAATAAAAAGAAAAAGAGAAAAAAAGCGCAGGGCTATTTAAATTTGACAGTAAAAATTATCCGCATTAAAAACTGTTAGCCAAATTAAGATTTGTTCACACAAACTGCATTTTTGCTTTATTATAGCGATATCGCTATAATAAAGCAAAAATGCAGTTTGAGTGAACAAATCTTAATTTGGCTAACAGTTTTCAGATAAAAAAAAACAAGCCTATTCAAAAAATAAATTTATTAAAGAATATATATAATACAAATCCAATATTTAAAAAATGTAATGTATATGAAAATTGTATTATGTATGAAGTAGCTGGATGGCTGCTACATACTCCAGGATACAACACTTTCCATCATTTTGTGAAGAACTTTATCTGTGAAAAAAGAAAGACAGTATAAGTACAATCTCATTAAAATAAATAGATTAATAAAAAATTATAAGTCCCAGGAATACTTTATTTTTTAATAAGTCCAACATCTACGATACAACCCAGAACGTCATGAAACAGAAAATACACAGTATAAGTATAAAATAAATGAGTAGAGTACTAACTTTCCTTCTCGAAAAGAAGTCCAACATATATTATTAGTCTGCTTCTTCTTCGACGATACAGCTTGGCAACCCCAAACATCATGAAACAGAAAATACACAGTATAAGTATAAAATAAATGAGTAGAGTACTAACTTTCCTTCTCGAAAAGAAGTCCAACATATATTATTAGTCTGCTTCTTCTTCGAACATTTACTTGAAGTAGAAGGTGTTTGATCAACATATTCAATTTCTACGTTATTTGAGGAAAGTCCATCCGCTACTCTTCCAGGAACTGCTGGGAGGAATAGCGTTGGAAATGCTTCAGGTGTTAGACCTCGATGAGAGCCAACTACTTTATACTTCTCTTCAAAATGTTTATGACATACTATAAAGGTGGAATAAATTTGTAGTCTTGTTTTATTATTAAATCTTGGACAACGAACAGTAAGTGCCCAAATATCAAATAAATCGGGTGAATTTGTAGGGTGGGACAGGGATGCATCTTGTTGTCCACATCAAGACAATTCGGTACACAACATTTTCTATAATTACGCATCTTTATGGAAAAGCACAAAATAACAGCGGAAAAAGCACAAGATAACAGCTCAAAAAGCACAAATTTATAATGGAAAAACAAGCTTACTAACAGTGGCTAACTAAATCAATTAAGCAAATTGGAAATGAAAACACGACTGAATACAACCAAGTCACCAATATAAATAAACGTTTTATTTTTCTATGTAAATAAACAACGTTCTCGTTTGTCGCCATGACACCCCCCACAAAAATCAATATTCACCTGTCTTTTACACTCCCACCACCAACCCCACCACACGACTGCAGCGCCACCATGCGGGCGTGGTTGATTTTTGCTCTATCCCAGGCCTGAGCATACCAGTTTCACACCCCTGATTGAAACTGAGTGGGATTTATTGTGGCTCCTGTCGTCGGTAGATTTACACACCCTTGATATTAAACTAGATGGCTATATGACATTAAGATTAGATTAAAGAGACCGAAGATGTAACATTGCACACTGCGCATGTTGTCTATTTTAAGCCAAAGTAACCCACCAATTGAAAATCATTGTTGCACGACGCCACCCGAATTGCTCCGATTTCCATTCAGCGATCACCTCCACCTGAGTTTAATCAACATTGACAGCTGTTTTTTGATTTATTTGTTGGTATTTTAGCAATTTAAAGTGTTCTAGTTATTCAATTTCAAGTTCAAAATGTCACGATGTATCTTGAAAAATTGTATGTACTTATAATACAAGTACTACTGTTATGAATATATTCGTTTTCAGCGGTAAACATTTTGACATAAAGCGCCATGATTCTCTGGGCTGAATACTTCAGATCCGCATTAAGGGGTTTCAATAAATATTAAGCATCAGAAATCAGATTTCATATTACTTACATAAATTTACAAAAGGGTAAAATTTTGAACATTTAATTTAAATAAATAATATATAGGCATTATTGCTAACGAAATTTTGTATTTAAAAAGTAGTTTTATAAGAATGTTTTCTAAAGGTAGTTTTTAGCCCTTTTTGGTAGATAAATAAGAGGTAAAGAATCATAGTTGCTAGCTAAATTTTATTTTTATAAGGTATTTTTATAAGGTATTTTTATAAGGTATTTTTATAAGGTATTTTTATAAGAATATTAGATGAAATACAGGATGACTTACTTAAAATTTCAAGGTTCATCTTATTTGCGGTCAAATCGAAAGTGACATTGAATTTTCAGTCTTAAAACAAAGTAATCTAGTATAAGCAAAAAAAAAAGTTTCAGGAGTTAGGTCCGATTCCACCGTTGTGTTAAACGGAGATTAAAATGACAGTGTTAATGTAAAAATGTCATTTTAAACTTCGTTTAACACAACGGTGGAATCGACCCTTAGTCACGTTAATAAAATGTTACATTACAAACCCCTAAACAACTCGAACATAATTTTCGTTTACTAAAAAAATCCAAAATTTAGCAATATTTATTTATTATACAATCGAATGCGATTTCAAAGATAACTGGATCAAAAAATCCGAATCTCTGAATTTTGGAGCTAAATGCTCAGATAAAAGCAAGCGACCGATAGGGGTTACAAAAATAATCGATTTATCGATAATTCTGATATTTTTTAATGAAAATCGATTTATCCGCTGTTTTTAATAAATTATTTTCGTTTTTTTTAAGATAATGTATTAATCGATTTTAAAGGAAATACAAAAAAGTAGATTTATTCAAAATAATCGATTTATCGTTTAATCGGTTTTTTAATTATTTGATTATTTTCGATTTTTCAAAGATATTATATGAAAATAATCGATTGAAGATAAACGGTTATTTTACATAATTCGATATTTTTGTTATTTTTTTTAAATTATCGATTTATTGGATAATCAGCTTTTTAATAATCAATTATTTTCGATAATCGAATAATCAATTTCAAAGGAAATATGAAAAAAGGATTATTAGAAAATAATAGATAATTCGTTTTATTTTTTGGAAAATCGATTTATCATAGAATCGGCTTCCTAATTAATTGGTTATTTTCGATTAGGCGATTATTTTGGAATTATTGATTATTTTTGGTATTTCAAAGATAATCGAATTATCGATTTTAAAGGAAATACAATAAAAATAGATTATTGATAATAATCGATTGATCGAAAATAATCAATTATTTAAAATAATCGATCATTCTGTTTTTTTTTTAAATCGATTTATCAGTTAATCGACTTTTTAATTAATCGATTATTTTTGATTAATCGATTATTTTCGATTTTTCAAAGATTATCGAATAATCTGTTTCCATGGACGAAAAAAAATGGTTTATTTGAAAATAATCGATTATTTAAAATAAACGATAATTCTATTTATATTATATTTTGTAAACACTGATTTATCGGTTAATTGGCTTTTTAATTAATCGATTATTTTTGATTTTTCAAAGATAATCAAGTAGTCGATTTTAAAGGAAATGACAAAAAATATATTGTTTGAAAATAATCGATTGATCGAAAATAATCGATTATTTTTAATGATCGATAATTTATTTCGATAATCACTAATCCCTAGCGACCAAATGACTTTTAATAGATTTAAATTTTAAAATGTTATCTGGTTTCAGACATATGCATTTCTAGAGTTTTATGTGACTCATCCGTCATAATAATTAATATTCTTAAAGAAAGAAGCCTTAATATACTTTTTTCTGAGGTTACAATACAAAACAGCATTTTCTCATTTTGACTAATTTTTAATAATATGTAATAGCCGTAGAAAAAATATAATGTTCAACTCATAAGGGTAGATTTGCAGTATTAGCCTACGCACATGCTATTTTTATAATACTCGAAGACAATGAGTAACATTTTTTGCTCTATTAACAATA